CACAGATTAAGCCAATAAAGGACGACAATGGAAAGTCAATCACCAAAGAGGTGGAACAGAGAAAGCACTGGGTTGAACACTTCAAAAGACTTCTAAATCGTCCGCCACCTACAACACGTCCAGCAATACCAACAACGGAAGCAGAACTACCAGTGAACACTGACCCCCCGACGAAATCAGAAGTCCTGAATGCAATCAAGATGCTTAAAACTGGGAAAACACCGGGACCAGATGGAATCCCAGCAGAGGCTTTGAAAATAGACCCAGAGACAACAGCGGACTTGATGACACCACTACTGGAGAAGGTGTGGAAAGAGGGCAAAGTACCCGAGGATTGGAAGAACAGTTACTTATTCAAACTTCCAAAGAAAGGAGACTTAAGTCAATGTAAAAACTGGCGTGGAATTATGCTTCTGTCCATTCCAAGCAAGATACTAAGTCGCATCATCCTGGAGAGAATCAAACAAGCCCTAGATGAAAAACTTCGTCCGGAACAGGCTGGATTCAGGAGAAACAAATCATGTATTGATCAAATCGCCACTCTACGGATCATCATTGAACAAAGCTTGGAATGGCAGTCACCTCTCTATCTCAACTTCATCGACTTTGAAAAGGCCTTCGACAGCGTCGATCGAGAGGTCATTTGGAAACTACTTCGCTACTACGGGGTCCCATCGACAATTATACACCTCATCCAACAGTTATACGACAATGCTGCATGCCAAGTAATCCACAACGGGAAACTTACGGAAGCCTTCGAAGTGAGGACGGGAGTGAGGCAAGGCTGTCTACTATCACCAATGATCTTCCTGATTGCAATTGATTGGATAATGCGACAGACAACGGCAACCAACGAGGGAACAGGCATAAAATGGACTGACACAAAAGACTTGGAGGATCTGGATTTCGCCGATGATATATGTCTGATTTCCCATAAACTGGAAGATATGCAAATGAAAAGTAACAAGTTGGCAGAAGAAGCATCAAAGATAGGACTTCACGTGAACATAGATAAAACAGAGATGATGAAGATTCCTTGCCAACATCAACAGCAACAACAGACCACAATAAGCATAAATGGGAAGAACCTGAAAGAAACAACCTCCTTCACCTACCTGGGAAGCATCGTCTCAACTACAGGCGGAACTGACGAGGACATCAAAGCCAGAATCGGAAAAGCAAGACAAGCTTTCATTACTCTCAAATCTGTGTGGAGGTCAACAGCACTCAGCATCAAAAATAAGATCCGGATTTTCAACTCCAATGTGAAGTCAGTGCTACTATACGGATCAGAGACTTGGCGAGTCATAAAGAGCATCTCAAACAAACTTCAAACCTTCATTAACAACTGTCTCCGCTCAATACTCAAGATCAGATGGCCAGAAAAGATCAGCAACAGGGATCTCTGGGAGCGAACCAATCAGGAACCGATTGTGAAACAAATAGGCAGAAAGAAATGGAGATGGATTGGCCATACGCTGAGGAAACCATCAAGTGACATCACTAGACAAGCCCTCGAGTGGAACCCGAAAGGGAGGCGGCGAGTTGGTCGTCCAAGGGTGACTTGGAGGAGGTCATGTGAAGAGGAGATGAAAGCATGTGGGCAGACCTGGAGCAGGGTGAAAAAGTTGTCAAAAAACCGAAGTCAATGGAGGTGCGCAGCTGAAGCCCTATGTTCCTCTAGGAACTAAAGGATACAATAATAATAATAATAATGATAAGTAGATATTTAGTGGCGTTTATGAAGAATTCAAGTGACACTAAGATCTATTCTGTATTTGAATCTGTAATGGAACAGACAAAAATCAACTATGAGTAGAAACCGGTACTTAACAAAGTGTATTTAGAACTTTGAAGCAATTCATTTGTCTCCGTTTACATGTTAATTCTTTTCCTATCATACTTTGTAGACATACACAATCTGTGTACTGATGGTAAAACATAATTTCACAAATTTCTATTCATAATCCATCGTCTCTGATAAATTTAAAACTAAATGTCAGATGGTTGTGAGAGTGTTGCACTAATAATTCAGAGACCATTGGCTTGAATACTGTGGTGAAACAGAATTTTATTTGGCCTTCAGACATAAATATAAATTAGTAGACCGTGTGAAATACATGAATATATATATATATGTATATATATATGTATATTATTTAGACTGGAAGTGACTAGCACTTTCGCATAAAAACAACCATTTTAGCAGAAAAGATTACCCTCCAGTTTTTTCTCCTAATAATAACGACATTTCAGAGCAGTTCGGCTGAAACATTACTCTTGGAACCAACACGTAAAGGGTTTTGAATTCAGAATAGGATAATATGTCATCTAAACCATTCACAGTTTCCAACATTCTCAACAAAGTTCTGCACAATCTTATTGAAAATTACCTCCATTCAACAATTTTACAGGTGAAATTTCAGTGATAGAAAACCCATACTTTGTTACAATAAGTTGACACGATAACATGCCGTTTATAGGTAACGCATAATATTCAAATATTGTCTTTTGGGGTTTGATTGATGGGTTTCAGAATTTCATCAATAGCTGACATCTGATAGAGAACCACTGGAAAACCTGTGAGTATTGGACAGCCGTTTCTTCCTAGTTTGGGACTCTCCATCAGTACGCGCCCATCGCCAAGGTTAGAACCCAGGGCCTTCTGGTTACAAAGCGAGCTCGTAGACCATTAAGCCACTGGGACCCAACCCAATGGCCAGCCAATGAATTCCAACTTCCGCCAATTCATGACATAGCGCGACCGCTGGCCAGTGTCTTCGGCGAGTATTTCTCCTCACACCCGACATGCTACTTATCAACTTGAGAGATATAATAATGACACGTGAACCCACTTCCATTGTCATGACATCGATCGTTCCTAACTTCTTATAAACTTTGAAAAAATATTGAACGGTGTTTAAATCACAGAAAGGAATGTTGAGTTATCAAAACGTTATCGATTAGAAGAACATGTAACATTATTTGGGAGTAATACGAGTGGATGACATCGAGTTGACTGCTAATAATGTTAACAAAAATTCGTGACTTTGAAGATAATAATTTAAAAGTTCTATCTGCACAATTTACAAACTGATTTGAGTTAACCACTGTTCCCAGGAAGGAGATATCTGAATACATTATTGATAAAATACCTATTTGGTTTATCAGAAGTTATATCCGGTGAGGGAATTGAATCTTAGGTGTGAATGCACAAAATAATAATAATAATAATCATATGAAGTTCAATTAAAACTAAAATGTTTGTGATTATAATCGTAGTTAAATGTCAAGTGGCAAATACCTATTTGGCTATGGTTATCCTTCGAAAGTGATTTACCATTACTTACATCACTTAACTTTCCATTTATAAAATATTCATTTATTCATCGTATAAGTCATAAATGTTTCCTTCGACGCTTCTAATAATCTCCTCAGCATTAAACAATCGAATTGCTTACACAAAATACTTCCTTTCCATATTAACAACGCTTTGGTAACTCGATAAAGCATACCTTCCTTTTATTGATGTTCTATACATTTTAATGGGTTTTTAGCTTGTAAGCAGTGGAAAATAATCGTGTAGATTGTGAAGATTACTAAATATTGTCATGTGACAGTTTTCACTTCTGTATTCATGAATTTTAAATGGGGGAAGTAGCACATAACCACATTTGATTTTGACGGCTGACATTTGGCATTTCCACAAGAAGTTTTAAATGTCGTTTTCGGCTTCGTTAAATCACAATTATTATTTGCAATAAGAGATTTCCTAACAAGGAAAACGGCAACAATTTTTTAATTTTTTTTTAATATTCTTAGTTCCTTAAGGGGCTACCTTCGAAACCATTCAAACTGTTTGACAGACAACAAACTAAAATAAATGCAGCTTTGAAATTACAGTATGACATGAAATCGGTCAAACTGGACCCATAAAGAATGCACTATTCGTAATGAAATGTCACCATGATTTCCTTCAGAAACCCGAATTACCTTACCGACAACAGTATGAAGTGTTTCACATCATGCACAGAAAATGTCAGAGTTTTCATTTAGGCGTTATATTTAACTGGTAAGTATTAGGATCACTTCAGTCCGATGAGTGAATGCTATTGGTTATCGTGAGCAGTTCTGAACCGCCCTTAGTGAGCATATTTAGCTATTCATTTTTCTGTACAATAAATATAATATATATGTGATTTCAGTTCTGCTCGAACATGTATATTAACTAATTTGATTCACCATTGATTTTGCAGAATTAGTATATTTCTAAAGTCCTTAAAGTATACATATTTCTTGAGTTCCTGGCAGGTTATTAATTACGCCACTGGTTACACCTAAGCAGATGCCATGCATCATGCGTAATTGGCATCATTATACATTGCTGAGAGAGATAGATTGAAGATTATTTAGTCAGATGTAGGTGAATATGCTAAATACTCAGTCATTTACACTGTATATTTGCGAAGATACTAGACAACTGCCTACACAAGCCAAACAGATCCGTGTTTGAACCTGCTACCCAATGTCCACTTTAATGCGCTACAGTTGCTTTGTTTTCATATCTTTAAAGGTTTGTCATCTTCAGCTGTCATGTGGGTTGTTGTATAGCTATGATTTTAAGTATTTTGTTTCATACTTAGATACCTACTTAAGTAATAATAATAGACCTTACGCTCTGATCTTATTTCCACTGCAATAAAAATAGCAATAATTTTATAATCATTGATAAAAATTATTCTAACTGACAAAACATCAGATATAGTATTATTTTATTGGCTAGTGAGGCTTAAAACAAAATGAGGAGGAAAACAGTATGGAATTATTTCCTTTTTCAACTCACCTATCGTATTTTACCAACTAAAGTATACAGACAAAGAGTAACGGAAGAGGATTCTGATTGGTCAATTCGATCGTGACCTTCAAAGCTCCTCTCTTTCGCTGCTATCGATCTCTGTCATAAGACGGTTGATAGAGAGACTTTACGTAACTTATTTTTTATATGTGAGCAACAGTATCAGACGGTGAACAGAGCTGTAGTAAAGCTGTGAGGTGTAAGAGAAAACCAAAGCTCCTTTATTTCAGTCAATATAATATGCATAAGAATTAGAAAAGCATCACCACAATGTCCATTTTAACAAAATGCGTGATTATTTCCCTATATTGTTTCATCATCGTCTGCAACTTGACATGTGGTCGGATGGGTTATTATAATCATTTTAAACGATTCGACTCTGGTTTACTGTCAGAAGGTCTACCAATGTGGTTAGAAAAACGCGAAGAATTCAGAAATCCTTTTAATTATCAAGGTGAGTAAACGGTCGCTTTATTATTAGCTTTTGAGTTTATATGTACTGAAAATAGATTATATTGACAAGTTAGTCCGAATTCCATTCGAACCAATCACTAACAAGACGCATTCTTCGAAGATACAAAGTCAATTTTAAAATGTAAAAAATAACTGAAAGTTTCATCGTATATAAGAACTATCAAGCAATGTCCCTTTTCACTGTTTTGGATACGAATCCAAGACATTTAAACTTTTGAATCACCACATATCTTACAGTATGCTAATTCCCGAAGAACAAAATAACTGAATAGTCCTTCAACATTCAGTAGCAATTTCTACGCAACAGACAGTTGAGAGACTTAGAGGACAATACTTCGGTTAGAGAATGTGCTTGTAGAAGACAACTGTGCCCACTCATTTGATTGGAATTTCATTAGCTAGTTAGTTGGCCGACGAAAAATACTGAAGGTGGGAGGATGATTCAAAACAGAAATGAAAGTAGCGAATACTGAAGAAGCCTTAACTAGGATGAAAGCGGCATTCATCTTTTTCTGGCCAGTGGGTGGGTACGCACTGATGAAGAGTCCCAAACTGCTATCCAGTACTCCCAGGTTTTCCGATGGTTCTCTAACCGATGTCAGCTCATGATGAAATCCTGAAACCAATCATATCCCTACAAACCAACACTTGAATAGCTTCTCTTTTTCTTATTTAGATTCATTAAAACTTTACACCATTATAATGAGTGTTACTGAGTGGTATATCATTTTAAAAATGATAATTAGGGACAACTGTACATAGTTCATATATATTTTTGGCTGAATCTAATAAGGATTACGGAAATTATAATTGTTTGTTTAGACCTGTTATTAACTACGACTACGAAAGCTTAGCAATTAAACCAACAGCTCAGAGAACACAACTAATTCCAAGTTGTTAACTTGCTTCCAGATTTCATAAAGGCTGTGGAAATAAAATGCCAATGACTTTAATATTACTTGCTAAATGAAGTATGGCTTTGTCGCTATTCTTTACCTTTGACTGATTTATAAATAAACCGAATTATATGCTATTTGGCGGAATTATTTTTTGAATGCTGTTTCTCTGTCAACATTTGGTCATTGTAGTAAGGATACTTTGATGATGCTAGTAGGTAAAAATGGTGTTATTTGGTTAATGGTTGATATTATAGGGATACCAGATGCACATCTTTTTGTTTCCAGGACTCATCAGATTGACGTACTTGTGTTCCAGTGAGTGGTGATGTAATAAATTGTGACTCAAGACCAGAATCCATCTTTTCAAAAGCCAATGCGTTTTCCAGGAGGATAGTGGGATACAAATAACATGTCACGAGTGGTCAGTAACTAAGGTCCAATAAAATCAGTCAGCGGGAAATTAAAAAAATCATTTCACGGTCCCACAGCCCAATCGGTGACGATTTACTGTTTGAAACAATGGTTTCGAGTCTCTGTGAAAATACAGTCACTCAATGAATATGGAGATACAACCGGTTGACTTATCCCACACAGAATGAGACAGGTATCCTTAGCTCGACTGGTAGCAACGATTAACCAGATTAAGGTGTGTGGATGATGAGATCTGAAAAAATGCTTCACTGAGAGTGAATATGTAAAAGTACTTTACTTTTTATATCCTAGAATACAATTGTGTATGTTTCATTTAATTTGAAGAGACTAGTTCATATTCCTATTTTAAAGAACAGATATATCCTCCAGAGAAATAAGCTTTCCCAAAACCTTTTAGCATTAATCCCTCAAAATGGAAATCATTACTTTCGACATCCTATTCTTATACTGCTTTCAAAATACGTTTAATACAGTCTCTTTGTATTCTGTAGTAACGTAGGAAAATTAGCAGTCTTCGTGATGATTATAAAACTCTAGGAAAGCCAAATAATCATCAAAAATGTTTTGAAAGTTGTAATTCATATATCAGGAGATGAACAGAGTCACTCCTTGAATAACCTTGACCGTTAATCAAATACCCATTGTATTAGATAGAGGAAATAAGGCTGTTTAGGGGTATAAATGACTATCTTAGGGCTTACTACTAAATCTACTCTACATGAAACGTGGCACTGGTATACGTGTGACTGATAGCTTACGTTGATCAATTTTCACTATTAAAAACACCCATAATCTAGCACCTGGTTAAAAAGGCAGTCATAACATCTGGACCAGCTATCTGTCATAAGCTAACATTTCTCTCTAGCGACTACAGAAGAAAGTAACTCCCCTTTTGCATACCAGTTTTAACACCAACAGGATATCTAAAAGCTGTGGTGTGTATAGCTATTGGAGTGGCCCATAAAGCAACTCTCATTCTGATATCAGGAATAAGCACAAACTACTCCCTTAATCTTAAAGTAGTTTCATTTACTGAATTAAATCGTCAGAATCTTACCATCTGTCACAGGTCGTAGTTCTCACCCAAACCTGTCTGTATCAGCATTATTCCTTCAGTTACCTTCTTCACCTCTAATTGATTCATCTTCTGAAAATGATCGTATTACTCATTTATGCCTTCCGAAGACATTTTTTCAGTGACAGGCTCATGCGTGTCACAATATGGAATGAGTCGATTATCAACTAAATTCTGTAACAACTACTAGAATAATGTGAATATCAAAAAGTTGCCGCCCCAGTGTTCATTAAATATTTTGTGTAACTTAATGTTTTCATCATTTATTCAGATATTTCAAAAGCATGGAAGGAGAGAAACGATCTAGAAGTCGATGAATTGAACCGAATAATCAGTCAGAGTGAAATTCACCGCCCTTTATCAACTTATTTCGATCAACAGATAAAATGTAAGTTATCCCATTCCTCTTTTTATAGCATTAGTGTGTATGGTTTAATGATAATTCTATGCTTCTTTCTGAATGAACTGTCTTAGTTTGTGAAACATTAGTTTATATGATAAAAATCATGGAAGAATCGTCATCTTTCATTTTCCATTAACTTAACTATACTAATTGGAAACTCATTGGGCTAGGTTAGATAGAAAAGTTCAGAATCAAGAAAACCATTAAATTAGGTTTAAACTTCCAAGTACTATAGTCAAGGCACTATCAGTTCCAGTAAAAGAGTCCATTTAATTAGAACCAACGTATTTATTGCTATCCGTAACAAACGCTGATTAATTTTGCTCGATCAAATATACTGACCTTAATGTTTAAAATGTTTATTAACAACAGATTTTTTTGAAAAGATCTCCTGGTAAACTATGAACCTTCACGGAATTTATAGAATATTTGATGGAAATAAAGAGCTGAAACTCTAACAATCGAATGACAAAGTGACCTCGAGACAACTAGTTAGCATCAGTCATTAAAATTTTACGTTTGAATTAATAATCATCCATTTGGAAGTCGTGTGAGCAACTTTGGTGGTAGGATAATTTTACACTACAAGTATGTGTCCAGATTTTTGAAATGTTGAGCAATAATCATCGAGGGATAATGCCTTATAAAATACACAGGACTTTTGGGAGATTTCTTTTCCAATTCGAAATTAACATCTAGTTAAATACTGTTCATGTGCTACAAGGTGGTTCTTAAAATACAAAGACTGGTTCACCTTCAGAAACGGAAAATAGCATTTGCAACAGTGCACTGTCACGACTTCTACCTATGGAAAATGAATAACTTGACATTATTATCAGGAAGATTTTAAGTCCTCTCCAATGACGAAATCATACTGACTGAACAAATAAGGTGTGGTTATTAAGCCTGTATAAAGAGAATCCGGTGAACAAAGGCAGTCTAGCTACCGTGACGCTCAGAACTCAGAGTTTAGCTCGACAAGACAGTACTACTCAAACAGATATGTAAGCACTTCCTGACAAACTATATTACTCACTCGACCATATACATCATAGCTTTAAAAATATGTATTATTTCATTGATTCTTTGGCTGGTAATTATGACAGTACTAAGGGAAGATTTAGGGAATGTCTGAAAACAGAGTCTGATTAGTGAACAGATCACAAAATGATGATGTGTACATACATATAAACAAATTTATCTATAGAAACTGTCATAATTTTAAATTGACATCACAGTGAAAACCCACTCAAGCTCCTTTACACAAAATGAATTTTGACAGTAATCTATAAATTTAGTCAAAGATTACGGTAATCATTTAGGGCGTTACAAATCGCTCTCCTACTCTGAAGTACAAATACTGAACGATAAAACTCGAAGTGACTTCCAATAGGAATGGAAATAAAATGTCAAAAACAGTTTTAATACAACTGAGAATGCACCTTCCACCCCCCACCCCCGAAATCACTTCAAAATTTGATATGGAACTTAATTTTTTCATGTATTCTTTCTTTCACAGCAGATGCTTATCCTGATGAATTTATTAATAGGGATCAAAGAGCTAAACCTGCTTTTGGAAGTGATGATGCTTTAGCAACGAATGGATTACGTTCTTATATGCACTGGCAACCAGCTGGTAAGTACTAAAATATGTATTCAGTTTAACCTTAAATGACAGATTTATTTATCTGTATTCAGAAGATGATTGCATGCGAAGTTTGCAATCCACACGTTAGACCATCAATTTAGTATTTGACTTTAACTACAGTTAATCATGCAATTTTCTGTCTTAGGCTCTAAGTCACATCTGTTGTTTAAGGGCATATATTACTACCTAGTTGCTCACACCAAGGTGAGTGCACAAGAGTTTACACCCAGAGTGTGAATTTCTCCGAAAGAAATCCGAAACGATAATTCAAACTATAGATTTAACCACACGTGGAGTGACGCGTAAAGTCCAAAATACAGGATATTCTGCAATACGGTACTTTATTACATAAAAATAGATATATAATATACAAACCTCAAAATGTGAGGTGTCTGTGGCTAAATACCGTCAAATGCACAACCACTGTGCAGTCAATAAGTAAAAACAGCAATGCTGGGTCAAGGTCGATCCACGTGTCGGTTCAAACGGCCCGCGAATGCCAAGCAAAGAATAAACAAATACGAACAAACAACTTTCAGTAGTAAAGCATACACTATAGGGTAAATGCAGCAAATAATGTTTAAGGAGAAGAAAAATAAGAACTATACATTAATAGAATGATAATAGAACAAGTAATTTAACTTCAGTTGTAAGCAAATGTCATTGTTATAAATTAACATAAAAATCATACTACTTACTAATGGCAAGTAGTATAATGTTGAACAGAGGAAAGATTGATAATGAACAGGCAGGAAAGGAATTAATTAATATAAGAATAAAACTTGTGCACTGTGGTAGAGTGTAATTCCATTATGGGTAAATTTTGTTTTGATAAAGTCTCACAGTGTTATACAGTAATGTTTACTGATGACGTTTCGAGCACAATTTATTGCTCATAATCATATCAAGGTAATCACACGACTTCCTAAATTCATTTATATAGTTCCATTGTTTTTCTCTTGATTTTCACTTGATTTGATTGGTAATAGTATTTTCCATATTTCAGGTATGAGTGACGAGTCATTCCTATTGCATGTGTTGGGTGTAGACTCGATGAACAAGGATTCAGTAATCAACCTCTCTCTCCACCTACCTAGATTACTTTTTAGAATTTTAACTCTCTCCCACCCTATTGTGTGGTTGTGTGTTAGCGCATGCATTGCAATTGCTGAGCTTTTTTCTAAATTACTTATCTTCTCGGGGTCAACCATTCTTACCTTAGCTAAATTTTTATGCTCTGACAATCTGACTACCCCTGACCTACTAGTTTGACCTATGTAGTTGACCTCACAGTCATTGCATGGTATTTTGTAAATAATATTATTTTGTCTAATTGGGTCAACTGGGTCCTTTAACCTACAGAGCTTGTCCCTGAGTGAGTTTGTAGGTTTAAATGCCACCCTAATTCCTATTTTATTCAGAATCCTACGTAGTGTCTCAGATGTCCCCTCTTTATATGGTATAACTGTGGATGACTTATATTCTTTCTTATTTATGTTATTATTACTAGTTTCACAATTATTTTTATTTTGTTTTTGGCCTTTAGTGATCTTCCTAATGAATTTTATAGGATAGTTATTCAACACCAACGCTTCTTCTATCTGTTTTAATTCATCATTTAGATCTTTTTTTGTGCTACTTAGTGCCACTGCTCGGTTTGTTAAACATTTAACTAAGCCTGCCTTAACAGTTAAAGGATGAGACGAATTAAAGTCTAAATATCTATTAGAATGCGTTGGTTTTCTATAAACACTAGTGTGTAGTTTGCCTTCTTCTATTCTTTTTATCTTACAATCTAACATAGCTAATTCTCCTTGTTCATTTTCTGATTCAAATGTGAATTTTATTCCCTCAACTTGTGAGTTTATATGTGTCAAGAAGCTAGAGATGTGTTCTGTTTTTAGCACTGTGAAAGTGTCATCCACATATCTCCACCATATTTTCGGAGTAGGGTTAAATGTATTGAGGGCACTATTTTCCCAGCTGTCCATAAATATGTCTGCTACGATAGGGGATATTGGTGATCCCATTGCTACACCTTCTGTTTGTCTATATATTTTGCCTTGGAACTTAAAGATAGTAGATGTGAGGCATAACTGAATTCCTAAAATAATTTCTTCAATGGACAGCTTTGTCCTATGACTGAGTTCCGGATCCGCAGTTAATTCTTTTTTAACTGCTTCTAAGGCCATATTAACTGGTATATTAGTATAAAGACTAGTTATATCAAAACTAACCATTGTTTCATCATTCGCTAGTTGAATGTCATTTATTTTATTTTTCATCTCATATGAATTAGTTAATCTAGAGTTTGAACGATTTCTAATGGGGCATAGTATTAGAGCTAAGTGTTTTGATAGTTCATACGTGGGGGTATTTCTAAAATCTACTATTGGTCTTATGGGGTAACCTGGCTTATGTATTTTTATAGTACCATATATTCTACTAGCATTATTAGTTTTAGGCATTAAATTAAACCATTTAGACTCACCCAGGGATGGCTTCATTCTGCGTATTAGTTCCGCTGTAGATTTCTTAACCTTATTCATTATTGTATCCACAGGCTTCTTAATTTCCTCATATGGACCCATTTGAATATGTTCAGTAACTTTTTTGATGTAGTCAGATTTATCCAATACTACGGTGGCGTTTCCTTTGTCAGCTTTTGCGATGACAATGTTTTTATCCTGTTTAAGACTAATTAAAGCTTCCCTTTCCGATTTTGTTAAGTTTGATTTTGTTTTCTTTTGATTTTTTAGGGTTAATGCACATTGTGCTCGAACCTCTTCTGCTGTAGTCTTATCTATTGAGTTTAGTGCTGCTTCTATGTTAGGAATGACGTCCTCTGGTTTTAATTTATTAACTGTTACGTTAAAATTTAGTCCTTTTTCAAGTACTTTTATCTCATTAGAGTTTAGTTCCCTTGATGAGAGGTTGATCACCCACTTTGTTCTGTCGATAGAGGATGAAGCATTCATATCTGTTTCATTTGTTGTGTTCTTTTCTTCTATTAGTTTGTTGAATTTTTTGATTTGCGTGATTTTTGATTTTCTTAATGCGGATTCTCTGGCTTTGTTGGATGTTTCAACAACAATTATATAATCTTTGTCATTGATCATACATTTGAGTTTTTGTTTAAGTTTTTCAATTTGATTTCGTATATTATTTAGTTTTACAGTAACTCTATGTAATTCTTCTCTTAGACATAATTTACTGACATGTTCTGCGGCTGATGTTATTTTGTTTGAAGTAATTGGAGTACGTAGACGTAAATATTTTGGAATTATATGGCTTTTTAAACATCGACTGTTAAAAATCCGATGATTTGTAAATCTTGCTTCAGTTTGACTAAGTCGTGTGAGTTTGTTGATAAGCTTCCTAGTAGGAAGACCATATGTATCATTAATATAAGAATAAAACTTGTGCACTGTGGTAGAGTGTAATTCCATTATGGGTAAATTTTGTTTTGATAAAGTCTCACAGTGTTATACAGTAATGTTTACTGATGACGTTTCGAGCACAATTTATTGCTCATAATCATATCAAGGTAATCACACGACTTCCTAAATTCATTTATATAGTTCCATTGTTTTTCTCTTGACTTTCACTTGATTTGATTGGTAGTAGTATTTTCCATATTTCAGGTATGAGTGACGAGTCATTCCTATTGCATGTGTTGGGTGTAGACTCGATGAACAAGGAAAGGAATTAACACAGAGCATAGCGCTATATGTTGCTTAACAAATAAATAGCTAGACAAATCAGTCACGACTTCATTTAAAAATTAGTCCGTACATGATGTACAGTGCATTCAAACTGATTACTACTCCTCACTAAAAACCAGTTAGGTGACGAAAAATTATTTGAAGGTTAACCATAATTAGTTAGACATTAGGATAAAGCTTCAGACAAAATCAGAGAAAAGTATAAGTTATATAGGGAAACACAGAAAGATACAGAAAATTGTTTAGTGTACTCCAAGCTTTAGTACTCGGTCAGTAAACTCGTGAGACTGATATGGAAACTGTCAACAAACTTCGTAATAAGAGGCCCACTACCATATTCCAAGGGCTTGTGAAAAACCTAAACAGAAATTCTTTTCCCCAGAGTTATAATTCTCCGAAGAGTAAAATTCTAAAATTGTTATGGATAATTTTTTCCTGTATACTCCAACAATTAGGAAACTGCATTCCCTTTCTGCGCATTTTGAGTGAATAGTTTTTGCAACTCTAAAAGTAGAAAGACTTAAGAACAATCACGGAAGGGTATTTATTTATTAGTACATAGGTTTCCAAGCACACTTATTACTTATTTATATGAGTAGTTGGAGAGTATTCTTACCAGTGAATAGCAAAAACTGCAGTGAACCTTCACCTCGAAGTTTGTCGTTATCAATTACAGAATTTTATGCTTTAAACTTTTATCTACTGTTATGGCTTTTCAATAACGCTTTTCAACAGTATTCTATGCCATTTACGAACTAAGTAAGACAGAGTACGTGAAGAGAGAGGAAGTATTGACTTGACTACAAGAATAACTAAATTAGTAGCACAAACATCGACCAATTCTCTCTGATGAAGTAAACAAAGTCATCAACATCTTGAAGTATAAATTTTTTCTTGACGAGTTGACCACGGATTGATATTAGTTAGATAACCGTTGAAAACCAGGGAGTACTGGACAGCTGTTTCACCCTAGTTTGGGAATCATCGGCAGTACGCACACACCACCAAGGTTCAAACCCAGGACCTTCCGGTTATAAGGCAAGCTCCTATGCTATTCAGCCACTGGGACTCGTATCAACGGCCCTTGTTTCCAATGGTTCTCTAAATGATTTCGATCTGTGATCAACTTGTCAAAGCAAATCTAATCCTTACAAATGTCTAGAAAATATAAATAGGATCAAAGTTCCACAAACAACACTATCCCAGGGTGGATGTAGTACTACTGCTAGTGAAAAACAGTAGTAATGATAAGGCAATAAGATGAAATCCTTAAAAGTAGAAAGAAAAAATATTGAAGATGAATTAGATGCAAGCTACAGTCAAAAAATATATACAGGGAGAAGGAAGTTTTGACAGGAATATAAGGTTGGCTTCCGCTAAAAGCGAATAACCCATCAGATATTCTGGCCACCATAGACTTCATAAAATGAAATACTGCAAAATTTCTAGCTTTTCGAAGTTACACTGAAACTAAGTTCATAAAAAATTCTCATTAGGTTATATAGGAAATTAAAACAAGTGATTCAGCGAAGAGACTTTTCATCGAATTTGTCAAGCTTTACAATCGCATGTATATATGTATAGATATATATATATATTCTTAATTTTTTTAATAGTAATGTGAACTGCAACAAGATATTTGTGATTATAATCGTAATAAAACATGAGATAACAAACATATAACATTTTCGTTATAATAAGGGTTTTTGTATTTCCCAATGAATGAAAAAAACAAAACGATACTGTTTTTTACTGACGTTTCGCCATTTAATGCTAACAGTTTTATCAAAATCTCAGCATATATATAACAAGGAGTTAAGAGGTGAGAAAATAGACTTAGGTCAAGTTAACGCGACATATTGAAAGTCAATATAACAATGAAGATCACTAAATCAAATAACAAAGGTAATAGTACGTCTGTTATGATATCAAAATAAAGTTTACTAAATTGATCATCGTTCGTCTGTCTGGAGGCATTTTTCGTTGTCAAGTTAGTCAGTTGGTACAATTAACAAAACCAAGTGTAAATTGTTGGATTTGATCAGTGTGTGAAATTATAAAAGCACTGTGTGTTTACATGGTGAACTTGCATATCACATTCGTGTTGATTTTGTCACTTTATGGGGGAGGGAGGTGTTGTAACCAGGTCAGATTCTGTTTTAGTCCATCATTGCTATTCAGACAATTTGGATTCCACTTGATATGAAGTGCTTTCCAAGCATTTTCTGCTTGGAATGTGATGCGATATACATTGGACAAACATTTCGAAAAATCAAAATCAGAAGAAATGAAAACCGTAGAGCATCTCTTCGACTACCGAGAAATCCGGTTAAACTAGAAGACCTTGAAAAATCATCAGCCATAGGTCTACACGCTATAGAATCAGGCCACAAAATTGATTTTCACAACATTGAAATGATCCAGAAAAATTTCATAAATCACAAAGAACGTCTAATACCAGAATTACTTCATATCAAGTGGAATCCAAATTGTCTGAATAAGAGTGATGGACTAAAACAGAATCTGATCTAGTTACAACACCTCCCTCCCCCATGAAGTGACAAAATCAACACAAATGTGATAAGCAGGTTCACTATAAAAACACACACTGCTTTTATAATGTTACACACTGATCAAATCCAACTATCTACACTTGGTTTTGTTATCTTTACCAATTGACCAATTTGACAACGGAAAAACGACCCCATGCTGAGGGACGATGATTAAGTTGTTATATATATATGATGAGGTTTTGTAAATTCCGGTTAATTAATACTTTGATAAAGCTATTAGCAGCAGCATTAAATAGCGAAATGTCAGTAAAAACAATCTCGTTTTGTTTTTTCATTCATTGGGAAATACAAAAAACCTTTATTATAATGGAATATCATATACTCAATGCCCAAATTTTTTCAAACTGTTAAAAGTGAACTTGATTTGGACATATATAACATATAACATACTTTATGAAATGTGTAGATCTTAGAATTAATAATATTGGCAGACAGTTAAAGCATCACGCAACAAGCTGAGAACTATGATAACACTACAAAAAGTATTTGATTGGTGGACGGTAACCAGCAGTGTAAGTACATTGAATTAAATAAGTAAAGGTGACAAGAGAGTCGATATCCGAGATTGTTAAAATTGAAAATAATAACAGTAGAAATAATTAGGGATGGATATAAGAGAGTGGATAGAGAAAACAGGAAATAAGTAGGCCCAAGGTAGGGATTGGAATTATAATAGTTTAAAATAAAGGTATTAGGACCACGAAAGAAGGAGTGATTGAACAGATTTTCCTGAGATAACCACATTTTCTCCCATCGCTTAACTTCTATTTAATTGTACTTAAAAAGTAAACTACATAAAAACAACCTAAATAACCTAGAAAGAGTTTTAACTCATGGTCGCTTTTTAGAAAGAACATCATGGAGACAATAAATAAGTAACAGTTTCAATGTACATTTGGTCCTTAAGCTATTTAGTTTTCTTGTATTTCAATACTGTCATATCTGGTTGTTTATAATTATATTAATTCTACCACAATAACTCCAGTTTATAGATTATTATTTACTTTGAGATGAGGGTTATTCACTTCATAATGATGTTAACAGATTACCACTCACCATTTATAGATCGCATATTTGTTGGAACTCTGATCCTTATTTATTGTGACGGTGTTTATATGTTCGCATGTATTTATTTAACCTTTAAAAAGATATATAAATAACAATGATTGTAGAGCATTCAGGTAATAAATCCAACCGAAAACTATGAGTTCATTAAACACTACCTTTTTCATAGTTGTTGCTTGTTTTAAATATTGTGGGGATTATGTATTAGATGACTATGTATAATGATGAACACATTATGGTTTTAAATTTCGTTTTATTCAGTGAGTATTTAATTTCTAAATACTTATTACAACCATACAAGAATATAAGTAATGTGAAACCACAGATACTTCAATCGACACTGTCCAGCATATATGATTACCATCTATTAGATTTTTTATTACCTGAACAGTAAGTGAGTAATTCAGCAGCTAGTTAACACAACCTACTAAATGAAGATTTTTCATGGGAAGAGGATGAACTAAGTCCAATTAAAAGCGGTCTTTCCCTTTCCTTAAGTAAACACCCAGTATATTACTAATATATTGCATCGGTGGCACAGTGGTTAGGACTCTCGCCGACCATTCACATGGTCCGGGGTTCGATCCCCTGCCGACGCACACCTGATATATATGGTCGGCCTGCAAAATTTGGGCTACCGATATCCATGCTGAAAATTCCATATTTGTACCAAAAATACAGTGTGGAATCAAGCTGTAATCAAAAATTAAATTAATTAAAGCTCTTATTACTGATTGTACTTATATTACATTTTATAACCTCTTGAGGAAGACAAGAAGTTGTAACGTGTCAGATATATTTTACAGTAAACTGGGCTGGACATATCGTTCCGTCCCGTTTCATTTAAAAACTTCATCGGTTTGTGCCAGCATTGTGCTTCAGTGTTTTAATCATCCTGGTAGGCTTACCAATGCGACAAAAGTGGTGTGAATGATTTCAGATTAATTATGTCATTCATTTGAGCTGACATGAAGCTATTCATAATAAATTCATAAGAGAGCTGACTTCGTAACACTGAGAAAATTAGACAAAGTATTTTTCGTTTACAGAGGTTCATATTAATCACTTTTGGAAGAAGTATTTTATGTCATAAATGTTACCTACTTATTTTGATATATAGTAGTTGAAATCAATCTGAAGAAAGCCTATGAGATAAATGTATTCAGGCTTATTATTGCTAATAAAGAATATCTCCTGATTTCATTACTTCCTGTTTCTTAGTGGTTGGTTCAGTGTGTGCAGTACTGGGTGTGTTGGTCATTGCTGCAGTTGGAACCATTTATCAGAAGTAAGTACTTCAGTTCGGTGAATATCTAATGTTTTGCTTGCTTTGTTCATATGACTCTCGTTATTGTGGTTGCCGTCTGGGTGACCGGAGTGGAACATTAGAACTCCCTGAAGGTGGTGTTCAGTTAAGCGTGTACAACTGTTCTAGGAAGAAGGAGGAGACAAGATAAGGAATGGCTCTCAACAGACATCTACCTGGCAGCTAACAGAAGAGAGGAGAGGAGGATGGTGAAAGAGATGACCCAATGCAAAGATGGACAATAGCAGAGGGAGAAGCTGAGTTCAATGTACACTGCACTGAATAAAGAAAGAAGTGAAGAAGAGTGCTAGGAAAGACAATTCCACGACACACTGGCCATCAACTGAAGCAGAACAGGTGGGCCGCAGGTAAAAGAGACCTCAGGACTTTGCACTAGATAACGAGGTCTCTATCCAGCAAGAGATCAACTCAGACGATGAAACCAATAAAAGACGCTAAAGAGAATCTGATTACCAAGCAGGAAGAACAAATAAAACAGTGGGCTGATCACTTTAAAGGACTCTTGAATCGAACATGTTCACCTGCAGTTCGCCCAGAAATATCACTACCACTAACAGGACGCACACAAACGCATGCCAATGGACACAAATCCCCTAACAAGAGCAGAAGTCTTGAATGAAATCAGCCTACTGGAGTCTAGTCGTAAAGGCAGCAGGACCATATGGAACTAACCCCGAAGCACAGAGAATGGACCCAGAGACTGCAGCAGATATTCTCACGCCATGATTGCAAAAGGTTTGGAAGGATGAAAGATGCCTGCCGATTTGAAGAAAGACGGGTTGCCTTGTCAAACTACCGAATAGGAGCGCATAACGTCTCGCTCTGTAAGGACTGGCGTGGAATGATGCTCTTGTCCACACCAAGTGAAATGCCAAGTCACATCGTCCTTGAGATAATGAAAGATTCACTGGACGCAGAACTTCGCCCCACCGACCACGACAAGCTGGATTCAAGAAGGGTAAATCATGTACTTATCAAATTGCCGCTGTACGCATCGTTATCAAATGGGGCATAAAATGGCAGTCAAATTTCTACCTCAACCTCGTCGAATTTGAACAGGCCTTTGAAAGTGCTGAAAGCGAAGCAATGTGAGTCTACTTCAACACTACAGCGTGTAGTGCCCAAGTCTTTACCAATCTCATTCAACAACTGGCTATACAAGAATGCCACATGTCAGTTTCCACGACGGGGAACTCAGGGAAGCCTTTGAAGTGAATACAGGAGTAAGACAGGGCTACCAACTATCACCAGTGGTAGTCATAATTGTAGGGGACTGAAGTATGCATCATACTCTCGGGAGCGAGAAGACAGGAATACCTTGGCCCGATAAGAAGACTCTAGAAGATCTGGATTTCACAGATGATTTATGTTCAATGTCACATAAACTCGAAGACTTGCAGGCGGAAACCAATAAAAGTGAACAAAGAAGCGGTGAAGACAGGAATGAAGGTGAAGATAGAAAAGATGGAGATGATGAAGATAACCAACGAACAGCAACAACGACCAGCACCAATCACTATCAATGGGAGAGATTTAACAGAGGTTACCGCCTTCATTTATCCGACTAGGAATCATCGTTTCAACTACAGGAAGTCGGAACGGATGAAGACGTCAAAGCTGGCGAGCCAGATTCGCACGCCTTCTTCAACCTGAAACCAGTTTGGAAATCTCCTGCACTCCTCCTCAGCATAAAGAACAAGAATTGGGAGCCAGCTGAATAGGATGGCAGAAAATAGGACAAAGTGGAGATGTGTTGCTGAACCCTCTATGTTCCACTAGGAACCCAAGGCAATAATAATATTACTATGGTTATTATTATTATTATTTCTTACATGCATTCTGAATCGCATATGTCATCTATATTCACTTGTTTATTTTCCGCTGAATGCACTCTGTTTCTCTCTCAGCTCCTGATACCCCTCCTAATAACATTTCAGCTATTGGTTATTTTACCTCTTTCGTATTCTTTTAGTTGTTTAGTGACATCACCAATCTAATCATATTATATGTCCGTACACTGATTCTACTCATATGAGAGATTAGTCTGTAAGCTGACTAGTCACCATAGTTAACCAGTGTCATCTTTCTAGTTCGTAGTGGATTTTGCAACTGTCGACTCCAACATTAGATAAATTCTGTTTGGAAATGCATTCTGTTGCATTTTAGGTGTCAACAAATATTTCTTGAACGACTTGCATCTACAACCTTTAGGAGAATATTAGTAGACAAATTACTTTGCCAACAAGAAACTTAGTTCACAACTGGGTCTATGAGTTATTTATTTCACATTTAGTGGATACACTTTCATCCACATCCAGAAAGAGAAACAAATTAATAATAGATTGGAATGAACTCAGGCTTTTATAGCTATAATCATACAATAATAATAATAATCACTTTATCCCAAATAATAATCTTACACAGAATGGATTGTTCAAAATTTTCATGTTACCGTACAGTTATTGCTTTTACTTTTGCAAGTAAAATCAAGAGAAATAACCAGGAAATCTACAGTTTTGCTAACTAACTCAGGGGAAATAATTTCATTTCATTTCACTACTCACTGCTAGCCACTGTGATGTGGACAACTTGAAAAGCTATCGGCTGAAATGTTTTTGAAAATGCACGGTTGAAAGTAACAATGTCACTTAACAATGTCTTTGATTCAAATGAATGTAGTAATTGTGAACAATAAGCATTTGATGAAAGAGGGCATTTCAGAAGACCAAATCTCAGGCAAGGCGTCTGGTATAATCGCAGCTAGCGAAGGACAGTTACAAGCAAACTTTCTGACAGCGTAAGACAATGAAATAACTATTTTGCATTGCAGTATGGGATACACACAATCATTATAAATAAGTGGTTAAATGAAAGTACTAATTAGTACTAAGTAATGAAATATTCTATTTATTATTAATAGATTACTTTAGGTAACGGTAGCAACTTATAGATGAAGTCGACAATTTACTCATTGAACTGTTCAAGATGTATAGCACCGTAAATTTTCAACATTCACAGTGGTAAGGACTCTCGCTGACCATTCACATGGTCCGGGGTTCAATCCCCTGCCGACGCACACCTGATATATATGGTCGGCCTGCAAAATTCGGGCTAGCGATATCACATGCTGAAAATTTAATACTTGTATCAAAAATACGGCATGGAATCAAGCTATAATAAAAAAAAATACTATTCTGATTTAATTTTATTCATTCTAATTAGTAATAATAGTCATTTTTCATTATTATTATTATTTTTTTTTTAATAATTTAGACGAAAACTTCAAATGAAATCTAGCCTAAGTCAAGACGAAGAGGATATTTTAGAGAATTCAAAATTATCGAATAAACTTTTATCTCTTAATTCAGACGATGATCGTAAACTCGCTCAGTCAGCACAAATGTATCATTATCAACACCAGAAACAACAAATGTTGGCGCTTGAAAAGTTAGTCACTTAAGCATAAATATTTTCATGATTGCAGTAATAATCATCACTACTGTTACTATTTATTGGTAGGTAATTTATGGTGGAGTGGAAATGTGAAATGCTGATAAAGTATTCAATAAGGTAGAACAGTGAAGCTTTGAAATGACAGAGTTATGATTTGTAGCTCAAATGGTCACCTTTTTGGGGCTGTAAGTTCTATGAACTAGATGGCTTAGAAATGCAGTTCTCATTGTCTTTGTATAAACAACCTCTTCATACCTAGAAAGATAATGGTAGTTTTGCAATCAACCCACCCAGTTGAGAAAAGACATTAATGTCAATGAATGAGGTTAAAGCACTTAGTTACACGTCAGATGGAGTTGGAAAATCAGTAAGAAAGAAAAGATTGCCAAAGATTGTCCAGTTAGAGGTCATGGAGAAAGCTGTGTGACTGATTCTTTAGACAAGCCAACTCACGAAACGTTATGCTGTTGCATAATATCCTTCCTTCAAAAGCTCCTCTATTGGTAGTAGTATCATAAAAGAAGAGTGTAGTAAAGTTTCGCAATTAATCTTTATCCACTTGTATTATTACTACCTAGAATCAGGTGGTTTCTAACTACCACAAAAGTAAGTGTTACCGAATTTTTTAAGTGTATTTATCAAATGTTAGAGTTTTAGAAATAACTCTATGTGAAGGATATAGTAATTATCCGCCCTACAAAATCTGACTGAATTCAGAAATAGTACTAATTAGTATGCGATCTTGTCAGTTTATTGTTTCATCTACAAACTTTGATGATTTCAATAGTTTTTTGAAAGTAGTCAAAACTATAAAATTACTGTTTTTGTTCACCATCGACTAGTTCATCATAGAGGAATGAATGAAATAGTTAAATCTAATTCCGACGATGATTTTAACATTCTTTTCAAACTTATTTAGAACAGCTTTTACTAACTGGTTCGTTAGAAGAGATTTTCCTAACAGATTTTCATCAACCAAGTGATTTATTAACAGGGTACAATTTTTGGACAATATTTTCCTTTTGAGTAAATACTATTTAAAATGATACACGTCTAGTTCTACACATAAGATGAAATTAAGGACTTTTCACTAGATAGAATGTTCTTATTTAGATAGTGCAAGATTATTTAGTAGTGTACACTGTGTTATGCTGTCAAATAATTTTTAACAGCCAGGTAATACAAATTAATCTAAGCTCGATTATCTGATAGGCTTCAAAGCTAACTGTCAACTCAGTGATAAAAAGACAGCAAAACCCTTCATTGTTATGTTTTTTTTATCACCGAAGCACTACTGTCGTTTTCTAGAGTAGTCTTCATGCTTTTTCAGCTAGCAGTATGTGTTTCTTCAGTGCTGAATGCTCATCAATTTTAAAGACTCATTATCACGATGTATCTTGAAGCAATTTTGGACGTTAATCCTCATATCCAAAACAGTTATTCAGGAGATCACTTGCTGCTGAATTATCTGCATAGTGAAGTTTCTTACTGCTGCTGTTACAATGAACGACATAAATCCCATTCTGTAAGTAAGCATGGATTCTACTGAAGGGTGTAGATGAGTTTTGCAAGCCATAGTAACACTGAAGTCCAGAGAGTTTTCTAATCGTCTTCAACAAATTAACATCATTTCAAATTAAACTGCAATGACAATTCTCCTGATTCAGTAACTACATTTAAAAATAGAGAAAAATCCTTTAACACTTAAAAAAAACTCCTTACATCTCCATCAGTACTCACTATTTCTATGTCTCTTAATGTAATCATATGAATCAGAGGAAATATTTGCAAAACTGACCTGAAATTCTGCGTTTTCATGAGAATTTCTAGTATCTTTTCAGGTGAAATGAACAATTCACATGAGTACTACCATATCACATGCTGGGTTTCAGAAACTGGTTAAGTTACCTGTTCCAGTATTGTTTACCATTAATATATTCCCTCCATGAGCATAGATTACCAAATTATTTAAATGGTTATTTACTAAAGTACACATTTAATACGTAGATAACCATGAAGATCCCACGGTACATCATCACAAGATGAAAGGTTCAAGTTTCAAAGACAGCTGAAGTGACATGAATTTTTAAAGTAGAACTTTGTACAAAGGTACAGTGTGGTTCAAGTTATCACACTTTATAAAGAAACAGAAAAATGATAGAAAGAAAAATCAGCAATGAAAGTCAAGATAGATCTTTATAACTCCTAAAATCTGTTCAACGTGAAGTATCATTTATAACTTGGTGAACACCTTTCTAGATTTGTACACCTGAAAGTAATGAAGACTATAAAATGTTATGAAAACTGCAACCATAACATAGAAATACTGCTGAGACAGTGTTCCGGCTTATACCGAAACATTTAGTTCAGTAAATAGAATACACAGTCGATGCTAGCTTATGTTATTTCTCCTTGTCAGTTTAGGATGACAAATAACAAACATTATCAGTTATGAAGTTTCAATCTTAACTAAGCGCCCGACTGGAAAAATAACAGTTGTTTTAGATAATGAATACTGGACCTTTCTCAATTCGGGCACAGAAGAGGCTAAGTAAGGAAGCCCAGATGCGAATAAATATATTCTGTTTAATCATGGCTACATAAGTGATCATCGCCTAATCTTTATTCAGAAAACAGAAAGATTAAGCGAAGAAATATTTACTTTTCGATTAGATCCTCATCTTTGGCTCTACTCTAATATATATATATATATATATAGCACTATTCAACATCATACATCACACATAAATAACAGTTTTTGTAACTAATTTGGGAAACTGACAGCTTTTGCTTTTATTGACTGTTGCCTTTAGAAGAAAAAACACAACCTTTAATGTGCTCATTTCACGATTACTACACTTAAATACATTTGGAAAATTACAACTGTTGAATTTTTAACTTCATAGACGTGAACTAGTTAAATTTCGTATGAACTCTAACTTCACTAGGTTAAATGTGAATAAATAATTCATTAAATCAGTAAGATAATGATAATGATTTTTTTCCTTCATGTTCCCCAGTGGAATATAGGGCTTTCAGCTAGAAGGCTTGAAGTTTCTGGTGCAGTGTTAATTTGACAGGATGGGGTTGCTGGCCTCATGCCCAACCCTTCCTCTTTACCTGCTTTATTACAGGCTCAGCGATGTAAAGGAGTGCGTCGGCCGGAGATCGAACCCCGGACCATGTGCCTGGTCGGTGAGCGTGCTAACCGCTATGCCACTGACGCCCGGATGATGATGATAGTTCAGTTAAAAACAAAGCTGGTTGTATTCTGATATTCTAGTCAAATGTAATTGACCACGGGTAGAATAAGATTTAAAAATAAGAAAGTTTAAATAGCTACAATGATTTTTGGCACATATTAAGATGAAATCAGTCAGTAATAAATCTGACTTAAGAGGATTTGGTTACTAAAATGTAGTTGTATATGCATTCAGTAGAATAAGCAATAACTGTAGGTTTCATACATTTATTTCCCTTAATGAATTTGAACAAAGTTTGATGGAAATGGCTTCAGCAAACTTAAGGGGAATTGATCTATTTTGCTTATTGATAATTTTGAACGACTTTTCGACGTCCACCTCATGACCCGTGTCGAGAAGATGCCTGGTGATGGCACTGTTTAAAGCATTTGTTCCCTTTAGACGTAAGCTTTTTGGTACATGTTCAGAAAATCGTAGATATGCCCTTCTTTCTGTTCTTCCAATGTAACTGCTCCCGCAGATACACGTAAATTTGTATATACAGTTGAACGTAACATGAGAAGGATATCTATCGATTTTTGATTGCACCAAAGAGCAAGTCGTTCGAAAGACGGGAACGAGCTTAGCTGCAGGATACGCTATGGCTAGTGATGTACTCAGCCTTCTGTTGATTATCGCTGCAATATTTTCACCTTTATAATCAAGCTGAACGTAGACTGGCTTTTTTCCACTGTGATTTGTTTTACATTTGTGACTTCAGATCTTCCATACTTGTTGATGAACCTTTGAGGATACCCATTTCTCTTCAGTATCTTTTCAGGGAACTCAAACTCCTCCTCTAGTTTCTCTATAGAGCGAGGAGAATATGTAAAACAAATCACAGTGGAAAAAAGCCAGTCTACGTTCAGCTTGATTATAAAGGTGAAAATATTGCAGCGATAATCAACAGAAGGCTGAGTACATCACTAGCCATAGCGTATCCTGCAGCTAAGCTCGTTCCCGTCTTTCGAACGACTTGCTCTTTGGTGCAATCAAAAATCGATAGATATCCTTCTCATGTTACGTTCAACTGTATATACAAATTTACGTGTATCTGCGGGAGCAGTTACATTGGAAGAACAGAAAGAAGGGCATATCTACGATTTTCTGAACATGTACCAAAAAGCTTACGTCTAAAGGGAACAAATGCTTTAAACAGTGCCATCACCAGGCATCTTCTCGACACGGGTCATGAGGTGGACGTCGAAAAGTCGTTCAAAATTATCAATAAGCAAAATAGATCAATTCCCCTTAAGTTTGCTGAAGCCATTTACATCAAGCACCTGAAACCTGATTTATGCGCCCAGAAAGAAGCGGTTATCAGTCTTTCTTTTCCTGGTAACTGGATAATTTCACCTCTCTTTCCTCCGAATGTGAAATGCTAAAAGTTTCCATTGTGTATGATTATTATTGTTCGGAATAGTGGTTAATATTGCATATTTATATATGTATATATTTTTAGTGTATGAGTATATTGATCGATTAGTTGATTTTTGTTTAAACTTAACTCTGTGCAAGTATGTTAAAATTGTTGTTGTAGATATATTTAATAATGTCTTTGCCATGTAAGCAGCTGACGAGAAGGCAACGAAATAAAAGATGGTACCATTTTATTCTGCTAATCTGTAGTTCTTGCTTTGTTCAAACTGTAGGTTTGTTGTTTATGCATGTAAGAAAGATTTTATTTTTCCATCTTATTGCGCTTAAGCTGATAGATCCTCATATTCATATTTCTTTTTTTCAGGTATTTAACTAATCTTTCTAATACAAATTATCCCTGCCATCTATTTACTTATATCTCCTGAAATTTACGTTGACTTTCCTTTATCCATTCATATTTCCCATCAATTTGTCATTTCTAATAATCTAAACCAATATTATCGCACTTCCATATTTCCACTTACTCCTAAATTTTAACACAACCGCTCACCAAACAAACTTTTTATTTTCACTGTAGACTTCGTCAACAATCAGTCACAGAACCACTGAAAACCGATGAGTATCGGTTAAGCGGGGGCGGGGGATAGGTTAACACTAGATCACAAACCAAAAGATGATGTTAGAATCCACGGACCATTGAATTCCAACCCTCTGGCTGAATGGCCAATGGGCAACACACTTTTGTGTAAGCCAACTTAGTGGCTTTAATTCACAGTAGACCAAACTACTTTTGTATGCACATATTGACAATAAAAATTAAACTGATTACTGTCTGGTGACTGGTTCTTGCATATCTTGCAGGAAATTTCACTTAAACTATACTAAGTCAAAGTTATCTGACTGAATAATGCGTCATTAATAGCAATGCCCTTCTGTATTTTTTTGAAACTTAGGGTTAATGATCATACTCGGACAAGTGATGACGATGACAGTGAAGATGATATCGATGAAGGTGATTTCACCGTTTATGAATGTCCAGGACTGGCTAATGTAAGTTATGAGTAAATTTATTTATTTTCCGATTTCTAAACTTATCTGTTATCTTGATTTAAGAATGTATACTTAAGCATGGTCTTGAATTTCTCCTTCTCAATGCATTTAAGTCAAGTATCTGTGACACACTCCAGACACTAGCTTGTTTCCTCAAACCATCCGTATTTTTGATATAAGTATAAAACTTAGGCACTGTGGTAGAGTATAACTCCATTATGGATAAGACTTTATTTTGACAAATCACACAGTGTTGTACAGTTATATACAGTTATCAGTTATCCGCATTTTTATCGCTGACATTTACCATCTCTGTAAGTTATATCTTATAGGTGAGTGCTTACTTTTCAAGGAGGAATTTCCTGTTCTCTGTGACTTAACTTACCCTACGATAGATTAGAGGTATTTCAAGCAACTTATTCATCGTTTACAATTAAGTTATCAAATTCCCCTGAAGGAAATTCATTTCAGTTTAGGGAAACATATTAGTTACTTACAACTTAGAGTTCATTCAAAATAACTACTGCAGGAGGTAAATCACTACCCGAATAGCTCAGTAGTAACATCTCTGACTGTAACGCTGGGTTACACGGATTCGATTCTCAGAGGGGACGTGAATTCCTTCAAGGTTGCAGATACGCCTTGATGACGAGTGCCAGCTATCATGAAACCTAGCTCTAAGGCTTCATGCCAATTGCCTTCAACCATCTAATAATACTGCAACCTCAAACAACTGTTCATACTTCCATGTCTCCACACTTTGCATTACTTCCAGTTGTCAAGAGTAGTAAAATGAAAGAGATTAATTTAAATTTCTTCTTGACTGCATTTATAGCGTCAAAATGCCCCGTTTCTTTTGACATGTTGGGTTCTGCGATGGGTACTTGGACAATTCTACAGGGACATCAAGGTGTTATTTGGTTGATGTTAGCCAAAAATGGTGTCTAAAACGTACATTTCGCATCATTAGAGGCTTGTCGGCTGGATATGTCCGTACATTAGTGAGTTATGGTTTACTCGATGAAACTGTAACCTTGTTTTATGAGAATTTCGGTGGTCAAAAGATAAAAATGAAAATTAGACTACAGATTAATGAGATTATGTAATTCTTGTCATTTGTGCCATTAATAGCCTCTAAACATATATTATCATTTTCTCCTGGAATCCAATGAACAAAGAAACATTTTCTGGTATTGTTCGATTTCATCAGTTAGGCATTTGTTAGACTGATCACATTTGCTTTTGTCCGATTCTAATATTGAATTGCGTTGAATGTTTAACTAATGGACATGATGGCATACATTTTCATATCATCTAGATGCATCGATGTGTGTAAACTTTTAAAATACAATTATAGTATATATTAACAATTCCACAATACCCAAACATTTTACTGGTATTAGTTATGTAACCAATGTCGTCCAAGTTTTATTTCACTGTGTAATCACATTCTCTGCAATAAGAATAGAGATAAAAATTTCGAATTTATTCATTCGTACTCGTGATGTCAACTTGAGACTATCTAGACCAAAATGGTCAGCCTCATTTTAGCAAATGGACTTCTGTAATTGATGCCTCAACGTTACCGTGATTACTAACTTAGTGCTGCTTGTTTGATAGGACCCAGAACGAGCGCTTCGTCCTATATGAGAGTCGCTGAGTATATGTACCTCCTCCTTGTTGAATGATATTGTGTCAAATTAGACTTAAGTTCAGCTCCGATTGCTTCAAAAGCCAAGGCGTTAACTCCCAAGCTAATACACAACGAGAGTCTTCACTTGTGAAACGAACAAGATTTAAAATTATTTACGTATACTTATGACTCCTGCTGATAAATCTGACGTCTGAATTAGTGAATGCAGGGTTCAAGTCTCGGAGAAAGCGCTATCGCTCGACAGAAGACAGGCACTTCTAAGTGAGGGTCTTAATTTTGCCAAACCGGCTTTCAGGCTGAAAGGACTAGCTGTTACCAAACATATAACTTCGATTAGCTTTTACTAGAGTTAATCTGAATACAATTATTTCCTTTTTCATAGACTGGTGAAATAGAAGTTGAGAACCCACTGTTTGACAATGATGCTGGGGAAAAAGTGCTGAATACAAGTGGGAGTTCCGGTGAGCTGATCGGTTGTAGTGATTTAGAAGAGCATTTCAATGAAGGTGCAACAACATCACCATCAACACAAGGTGGCGCGACATCTACAAATAATAATCAATAGATCACGTTAAATAAGATGAAAAGATGAATTTACAAGTGTTTAAAAATTATTTCTCATATTGTATGTTGTCTATCTGTGTTTGTAGTGTGTGTGTGTGTATACGCGTGTACGTGGTCAGTCCGTTGTTAACAGTCATTCATTTCATTTACAACAGAAACACCATCAGATATAGGATTCTGAAAATTTTCATCAGAAAGTACACAGAACATGCAAAATGATTAGAATGCTATAGACCTTACAGAAGTCAGAGTATTATCGAAAAAATATTCTTCACACTGATTTAAGATTTCCTCGTTTCTATTTAGACTACTTATAAGTAACTCATCTTTTTTCAAAATACATTCGTCCCCCTAGACTACAACAAGCTTTTTTTCAAGAATCCTGATTTACTAAAATATTTAATGTTTCTTTTTGTGAACAGAAAGCATAACACTAGTGAGCTAATTATTAAATAACTTTCTAAGGCCATTTATTTTTCTAACAATTAAGCTAAACTGTGAACATCATTTAGAGACGATGTGTTGTTTTTTGTCTTTACTTTTGTTTCTCATCACTTTTATGCGGGTATGTACTTTCATGTTGTTTTTATTTGAATCTTAGTTACAATTTGAGTTTTGTTTATTGACTGATATGACTGTTGATAAAAATCATTTATATTTGTGTTGGTGTGCTTGTTTTTGTGAATTTTCATTTGTGCGTACTTTCCATCATTTTTTACTCATCAGTTTCCTGCAATTGATAACATTTTGTCTTTTGATTAATTCATCTCATAATTCTTAAGACTCTCGGTGTTTCTTGACCTGGATGTTCTTCATAAACATTGTCTGATTAAAATTTTCTGGAAGACAGCATTATTACATGGGATTTATCAGCTTTATTTTAATAGCATAGTCAAATAGATATAAATAAATGGAATGTTTGAGTAAATAACAAGTCTGTAGGGCTTCCTGAGTATTATATAATCACCTCTAATATCACAAATGACTGTGGATGCCACAATGGTCTTCATGTACCCGGATGATGTTTAAAGCTGCACGATAAACACAAGCAATGCACATGAACATAAGACTCCAAATCCACAAGTTAAGTTTTTAGTTTTTCGCCTTGAGATTCAGATGCGGGTTGAAAACTGAATCTTACCACCAATGTCATTTCAGCTATGCTGTTTACACTGCGAAACTGAAACTACTATCGGGTCTCAGTCCACCCGCTTTGTCTGACTATTGTAAGAAACAAACAGAGGTGTTGGTACATAACTTTCTCATGTTATCAATACAATAACTTCTTTTCTTTAACTATTTATTGTCAAACCACAAGTTCGTAGGTCCTTTTCTCCTAAGCTTCAAAGTTTCTATCACGTAATAAAATACGTATTCAAGGGGCTAAGCATCTTTTAATCTGCTTTACCTCAGATATAGTTAGTTCCAATGAGAAGTAAATCTTCACTTGATAGTAACCAATATAAGTTCGACCTAACAATAAATCATTTCATAAAGAACACACTTTAGTGGTAATAAGTTCCCGTTAGCTATAAGGAATCATCCGTAACCACTGAATACAGAGACAGATTAAAATAAATTCCTTTTATCAGCTACGCTTAAATGACTTGTGGTAATAATATAGGCGAAAATGACAAGTATTGAGAAGTTTAATCTGCGTATGCAAGCACGAGTTCCGCTTGAATAATACTTCTGATTGCAAGTGTTATAATGTGAACTTCTGTACTTGAAATCCTTACAAAGTATCTCATCACTGAATAAAACTACTCACAATAGGCGTAAGTAAAAACTGATGCACACACAGATGTGATAACATGATTGAACAGATTTGGTTAGTTTACTCCGGAAGATTTTCAGGGTCACACAATCCACCAGAAATTGATCATTTAATCATTGCTTAAATTTCTGAGTACGGTAGGTGAATAATAAAATGGTTCCCTCTTTTTGATTGAACACTAGTAACTAGTGTGACGTGTCTAGTCCTATATTCTCTGAAGACTGAATTCTATCAATCAGTCAGGTCTTGCAATGTGGACAATATTCCAGGTAACTGATCATCACGGTGCACTTTGATTTGAGGATATTAGATAGTTGGAGGCAATCGGCAGGAAGCCTTGGACCTAGGTTTCGTGCTAGTTGGCACTCAACAGCAAGGCGTATCTGCAACCCTGAAGGACCTTATGTCCCTTCTGAGACTCGAACTAGCGTCACCCAGTGCCCCAGTCAGAGACGTTACCGCTGAGCTACTCGGGCTCTATCTCATATTGTTGCTGTAGCTATTAAATCTGACACCTGTCCGGGGAATTTCAGGTGAATTGTTGGTTACACTATTGTGTCTAGAGGAGCATTCTAGTCAATTTACACAAATCAGTAACACTTCGTTATAAAATTAGTCTATCGAAAATCCATATCAGTAATGGACAGATCAGCGTCTCTGTCTCCATAATTATGTGACTAATCCTGTGAATTAAAAGTTAAGTTGACAAAGAATATTCTTGCCAAAAAATCCTCTTCAGGTTCCTACAATTATAATTGTCTACCATCTCCGTCTTAACTGACATTAAAAATATGCCTAGACAGTCCCATTTTACCTTATCGTCTAAAATGCCACTCAAACAGCAGTAAGTGGTGCAGCACAATATCTGGAATTATGATGACAATCTGTTCAGGTTACACTGAAAAGCCGAGAGGCGTAAATTGCCCTTAAGAGCCATATGGGTAGGGGAATGCTGACTGGAGTCTAGACTGACTAAACGCTAAACTGACTTTAATTCAAATTATAATGAATCATAAATCACTGATTCCCATGAAAACGGGACAAAATCGTCAATATTTGAAGTGGACTTGAAGTTCCATTGACATAAGAATAGAATTTAGGCTTAGTAGGAGAGCTGAATGCTATCGAAGGATAGTTTTACTTGACGAAAATGCACAGTGATACTGCATTATTCACTTCTGACATTCCAAGAATAATTCAATGCTCACAATCATATCACGACACTGATATAAATTCCATTATTTCATTTCCCTTGATTTTATTGGTAGTAACAGTTTCCGCTTCTTTGGTATCGGCCTTGCATCATTAACATTGTACCTGTAAGGTGTAGACGCGATGAAGGAAGATTTAGCGGTTGACTTCTCCTCCTACCCACATACATTGTTTCCAACAGCTGTAGCTATTTCTCACACTACTGCATAGTTATTTTAGAGCGTGCATTGCAATTTCTGGGATTTTCTTGTAGCTATTCAACTTTCTGTGATCCATCATCCTTCACTAAGCTAAATGCCTAAGTCCCGATAGACTGACTAAGCCGAATATACAAGAGTGACCCATATAGTTGATCTCAAAGTCAATGGAGGGTTATTATGCGCTACATTATTCTATCTACTGGGGTCAGTAAGAACATTCAGCCTACCAAGCCTTCTTTGATTTGACACTGATTAAAACATTCCATCCGGAATTCCATCTCGACGTTAAATGACAGTGGTGATTGATAACCAGTGTACTTTTACTGTCTATCGGGATCCAAGTTACTAGATATATCATCATATTGTCATGTCTGAAGCTGATGATATTCACCACAACGCGTCATGATGTCACGGACACTCACTGTCAAAAAATATCTGTCTGCAGAAAGTCAATCTTCTCAGCTGACGCACACCTTGAAAATCCCTGAGGGTTTCATACTGGGACAACTAATCAACCCACCTCATACACCTGCACGTGTGTGCTGAGTTTTGAGATTATCTACACAGAATAGCTGAATACGCCAAATCATTTCCACCTTGTTCACCTATCCATGTTACACCTGTTGACTATTCACCCATCTACTATTCAACCTTTAATATATTAATATTTAATATTCAACAACATTCTCAGTTAGGTTTTTCTTTTAGTAGTACACTCTAATATCATCTTCTTTTTAATTATCAGTTCAATTTGTTTCTTTGTCTTCTCTTATAGCACTGGTGTTCAAATAGTCTCACTGTGTTCATGCTTGAATAGAAAATTACAATTTACTTGCAGTAGCTACGAATACAATTACACAGTATGAGTAGAGCTTCTTTAACCTGTAAATTGTAGAATAAGTCACATTTAAAATGACACTAATGTGAATAAACATTTCATTGAAAAAAAAAACAATTAATTTAAGCCATTCAATGTTGAGTAATATTCATCTATCCAACTCTCATGAAATTAAGACAGAAACGACACACTTTACTAGGTTAATTCACTAAATACACAAATACAGAGTTAACATAAAAACGAAAGAGTTGACGGTGAAGAAATCATAGTCAATATTGGTGAGAACAGTTGAGATGTACATTGGATTGATTGATTGACTAGTATTGACTTGCTAGTTGACGGTTTATTTCATCTTCACAGTCTTCACAGACACATTTGCATTAAGCTCACTTCCTGTGGATGATATGCTGCACATTCTATCGCAACTTGATTTAAATTCTCAAGGACACAGATAAACGTAGAAGCAATGTCGACAGAAAGAACATGCTCCTAGCGCAAATGCAATCAATCTGAATAGAAATCCAACATCACCTATCAAATAAAATTTCTGCATACGTCTACTTTTCACTCGGCGCACAATTTTTCTGCAAATATTGGATCAAATCGTGAACACAGTTTGTATAATCTCAACCACGTTGGTTGGAAGGCGATGGCAGAGAAACCACAAGATGATATCCCCTCGCTTCACAATGACTCCTTTAAATTGCATCAATATCAGTAAGCCATCATGTTTGATTAATAAACCTCTTCAATAAAATAATAATGACCAAATGGTAGATTGAGAATAAAGTGTGAGATGATGCATGGTTGAGTGAAAGTACTGCTGATTCTTATCTGGACGGTTATGCAGTAGGCATTTTCCCGTAACAAACTGACATCACATCAGCTCAATTGAGGCGCCTGAGAAACCTTCATCGATCCCTAATGTCAATACATTCAGTAAACCTTTCTCCTGGCACACTAAAGAAAATATAAGCAATTGTGAATATTCCTACAGTTTATTGAGAAGAAGAATATTCAGAATAAACTGCTGTTTTTAATAACATCCCCTCCAGACTCTACCGTTATAAGTCCACCTTTGTTTGTATGGAGTTCGCAATATAATGAAATTGAAATTATTCCAGAAAGTGTATTGGGATATTAGGCAGAATAATAGTCAGTAACTTTCGGTCATTGTTTAAACCCACAAAGAATCGCTGCTCAATAAGAGAGAACATGAGATGGGATTAAATAACTAAGTTGAATCTCGTGTTTGTAAAACAACAGGTTCATCGGTTCCCTGGTTCCATCACTACTTGATAACCTTTCTCTAATTTCATCACTGTGTTTACACCCCAACATTATTACTTCCTCAATATTATCTTTATTTTTCTCTTCAGATCACATACCCAGTATTTCATTCGTCTATTTATTTACCAATTTGTAGTACACCGACTACAACTCATCCCTTAAAATGTTTGCAGCAATTAAGTAAATAAAACAGAAGGACTATGAATGTGGGTCTATGCAGCTGTGTCTAGATGGCTTTCATATTTCTGTGAATATCGTATATGTTCGTTCTCATGTAGATGAGATACCCTTGGATTGGCAGTCTGATACTTATCCAATTGGTGATGACTAATGATGATGGGCTGAAAACCATGGTAGTGAAAGAAATGAAAATGGTGGTCAAAACGGCGCACCTGATGAACTACAAAAACAGTGTGAGCGTTGACAAACTCTCTCCACCATACAAGCAGGACAGCAAAATGATACTTACACCGACACTGTGTGTAAATCAAATTGACAGTAATAATCAAAATAATAATAATAATAAAGACAATTAAACCTTAATATAGAATATAATTGTAGGTTCGGTGCAACTAGTACGCTACATTCAATGTTAAGTGGTCGTTTCCGAACCATTCATTCTCTGGACTGCTTTCATTTTCACCAGAGGAATGACTCTGAATTCATCCACACAAACATTGAGTTGTCGTATGCGCCAATCAAGAAACAGATATTTGTCGCACGACCTTAAGATAATTCAGGTCCCGTATGCCAAAAACGCTTCTTCTCAATTCCATTGGTCAACAGTTCACAAAGCAAAAGGCCATCAATGATTGGTCAACGAATTAAAATGAAACTATACTAGGCGTATTATCGTGAGTGAAGTTAATCTATGCGTGACTATTTAAAGCGTGTTCATTAAATTAAATTTCATTTGGATAACTTCCGACTGTGGACAAAATGGCTAAAGAGCATATTAAAGTAAGCTACTTGATTGTTTGTCTTAAAATCATATACTTGATTGGTTTTGCGACCTCATAATTCACTCAATAGTTATTATATTTCATTTGTATGCATAAAGCTGCCTTGTTTTAATATTCATGATTGGTATATGCTCCACTCAAGTTAGACATATTCCGTCACTGCAAAATGTCTGTACCACTTTGAGTATGAATATCGTCTGTCCAATTCGTGATTACCTGTGTAAGTGTAAATAATTCTGTCCAGATATTTCTCGAAACAAGCCTTATAGTTTTATGAACAACCGTTTATTCCTCACCTCATGTTTGTGATATTTAGTGAAGCTACCTACAGTTAACAAAAAAATAATCCCTATTATCACTATCATAAAATTACTTGAAATAATCACAACGTATTAAGAAAATGAAAACAAGACTTAAACAATCTGAAGATACTGGGATTATGTTGAATAATTTTTTAGTGATTCAGTCTGAGTCGACGCCTGGATATTTACAGTAATGAAAATGATAATAATAATAATAATAGTGGTGGCTTTATTCCTTAGATCTCCCAGCATATAGTACAATATTGTATCTGATTTCGCTTGACATTACGCAGTGTGGGGAGAAATAATCATGGAACACTTTTGACATTCACAGTAGTAACAATGGAAATAGTATATGAGTGTAAGCATAGATTATAAATGAACAGGAATAGTGACCTCTACATATAAATCATATCAGATCATTTTTCTCGGCACTGTAACAAGTTTATGATTGGATTGGATTCTATAATGTCTACTAACTTGTTGAATTCTAGGCATATATATCATGTATGTATGTCTGTATCGAATGTACAAAGTGGGCATAAAGCCGAGTGACGCTTAACTGTTTTGTGTTAGATGTAAGGCTGATTCAATTGACAGTCAGTTGTTCTTCAACCAAATCTCATACCGTTCGCAGCATCAACAAACATCCACTCATTTGCTTACTTGTATGTTTGTTTTGTGAGTCATCATCACATGAAGCTTGGTTCACAGTTTAGTGCATGAATACTGTCCTCGTGTCCAATCATTATGATTAAGATGAGTCAGAATCGCCTTCACCATGTTAAAGGTCAATAAACAGCCTTAGAAATATTGACAAACTTTAGTATTGTGTTTGCATCAAAATAACTTCTATGAGGTATTCATGAATGAAAAGTGATATTATTTTTGCTACTTACAGCTGTTTTATTTTAATGCACGTGCACGTGGAGAAGCAATTCGAATGACTTTTGTAGCGGCTGGAATCGAGTATGAAGACGAAAGGATATCATTTGATAACTGGCCTAAGATCAAGCCATCGATACCTGGAGGACGTCTGCCTGTAGTGAAGATCACTGAGAAAGATGGGAAAGAAAAATGGTTATCAGAGAGTTTGGCCATTGCACGTTTCTTTGCGAAGAAGAATGGTATGATGGGTAGCACGGACGACGAGTACTATAGTGTTGAGAAGCTAATCGGTCAGGTGAGTCTAGAATTTCTTTCTGCCTTTAGAAATATGATCTAGGATCGCTAGTGGGACTCTCAACCTCCTCTCTCTATCGGGCTTAAGACCAACTAGGAAAATAGTAAACTGTCTTCAGTTTCCTTTAGTGAATCCATTACTGACTACATTGACAGCAGAATAAGGATGATTGTTGCCAACAAAATATTAGTTTGTTTTATGTTAATTCGGTTATCAAAATAAAATGTGGTGTTATTTTCAAGTGAACTTCAGTAGTGTGGAACATTAGTTCGATTAGTGAATTATGAACTACCGGGGTAAATCGACTTCGCCTCTCAACGAACTGACTAGTAAGGCAGCATTACTAAATTTCGAACCTAATTTAGCTAGTAGCTTGGTTTCTCATTACATCGATAAGGTTTCTCAGTTGAATTCGTTTTTGTATTTCTATTTCATGTATTGTCGGAAATCACGGATTCCTTGCAGAACAGGCTGAACTCATCTAAATGTACATTTCACTATGCAAAGTAATTTGACATCATTTGAATTCCAGACTACTCATTCACGTCATTATTTGATTAAAGCCTTCGTACGACACAGATGTAGGGTTTAGAGGCAGCATATTCAATTAGTTTCGGTAAAGTAATCTTACAGCTTACGAAAGTCTGTTATCCTTCTGTTTTTGACGCTTATGATTAAATTGTAGAGAGTGGAATATTTCACGTGATTCCCAACCACTGATTCAGATGAGCTTCAGAAGCTGAAAGGAACGAATAGTGAATTGATAATCAGTAGCCATGGCACTGCAGCTCAGAACGATACTTGATTATCTATCCGATTGTTTAAATGCCTCATCGTAACTTCCTTTCTAAAAAATTCTTTCCATCATATGCAGGTTCAAGATGTTGAAAGTGAATATTACAAGACCTTGATGAAACCAGAAGAGGAGAAAATCAAAATCATCAAGGAGATATTTAGTGGAAAAGTCCCCATCTTCTAAATGTGAGTTGACTCGAGATTTGTAAAGTTTTCTTTGTTATTGAATAAAAATGACTTGATGAAAACACTGGTGTACAAGCAGGTTTCGTGTAGGAAATTGTTAGTTGTCAAATATCTTTTGATTTACGGCTCCAGTAGTATGAATTCGTTCTCTCAAACAATCGCCAACGACGATTACGAAGTATATTTCCAGGATTTCATGAGCTACTTTCATTCACTACTTTTCTAGATGAAGAGTATTGCTACCACTTCTGAACGGAAATTTAGTTTCAGAGAAATCGTGTATTTAGTAGAATACACATGACTGATGATCACCGAAGGAAGTTAGTTTGAGTTTGTTCTTGCAGTTAATCAAGTCATCCTTTTTTGGTTAAATTCTTGTTGGCTAGATTGTTTGGGATGATTTAAACATAAGCTAAGAAGTACTAGTTTTTTGTATTTCCCAATGAATGAAAAACAGAACGATATTGGGAAATACAAAAAACCTTTATTATAATGAATATCATATACCTAATATCCAAATTAGATTTTACGTCCTACTTCATACATGCTGGTTAGTCAATTTGTGCTTCAACTAGTACTGCACTAACTATTTTCCCCTATTCATAAGTAATAGTATAATAGTGTCGTTCATTTAGCACAGCTTCTTATTTATTAGAGTATTTAGAGTATTAAGATTCGAGTGTCAAAGGGCATATATTGTTGAAATACGTGCTAATTTAGTCAACCATCCTACAGGGGAACGCGTTTCTCGTATGAGCGGCTGCCTCATTGTTGCATAGATTCAAATTTTGTTAAACCGTTTGTCCTAAAGTGAAATAATTCACCAGTTTGTTCTCTTCTCGAGTCCGAATTGATTGACAACACTGGTGATTTTTGAAACCTTACCTAAGGGTGGTTTTTCTATTCTTCATATTCATTCTAGAATATCTGTGAATCGCTAAAGGAATCGAAAGGCAAATTAGCTGTGGGTGACCAAGTGACTTTGGCTGATTTGGTATTGATTGCAGCCATCGATCACGTGACTGACTTGGACAAAGGATTCATGAACGGTAAATATCCTGAGATTCACAAACACCGAGAGAATCTCCTGAAGATTTCACCGAAATTGGCTAAGTATTTATCAGAAAGGCCTGCAACTGCATTCTGAGTGTCGGAATGATAAATTGAAGATAACGAAGAAGGCAGATGAAATGTGCAGCCTAGTAGTTTAACTTTTGTTTTAAGATGCAATGATCTTTCATTTCACTTAATTTTTATTTTCATTAATAATAATGTTTTATTTAAATGAAGACTTTTTATTCCTGAATACTGTCGTGATGCTTTACAATGAAAAGACATTTTGAGTTAGGAGACGAAGGTGTCTGTGTTTCATAGCTTAGTGAAGACTGAAGTTAACCGACGTCTTCAAATACATTAGAATGAATGTGTTCAAATACTAGATCTCCCATAATCTTGTGTCTCTCGAACAGCCTAAAAACATGCCATTTACTTTAACTTTTGTTGAAGGAAGTTGGTCGGATGGATATTTTTGGGATTTCGTGGTTTCTGAGTAGGACAACTCACTAGGATCTAAAATAACGTATACTGAGTTGGAAATTCACCATTATTTCCTTCAAAGCCCGATGACTCACAAATCTGGTTGATTGCATAATTGTCAATTAAGAATACAAACGAGATAACAAAATGGAGCATACTTCCAAATGATGTGTGCAGTTAGAAACCACTCAGATTGATGCAATGTAAACATCGGCTTGCAAGCACCACTGTTCGACTTGAATGCTTCTGAACTACTTATATCGATTAGTGGTACATTCTGTCCTGTTATAGGCAGCGAAATCTTCGTTCTGCAATTTGCATTGAATGAGAGATAGAATGAGAATCCCTGGATGGTAGTCAAATACTAAGTGTTATGAGTTCATGACGAAGACTACCTCGATATCAGTAACCACTTCGGTACATCGGTTACCGAGTGTTTCAGTCAGTAAGTGATAATTAATGAGTAGAATGACATGAGGTCATGAAAGCGTGCTTCGGAATGATACCAGTGACTGACTTCCCTGAATGGAAACGTATTACTCGGTGACATGTCGAGGGAACCCATGAACAATGATGAGGGTTTCTAGTACTGCAGAAAGAGGAGTGCATCAATAAGGTTTGTATCAGAAAAGAAGGGAATTACAATGAGAGATTGGTGAAGATAATAGCAGTTATAGGAATAGGAAGTGAGTAGAGGATAGTCAATCTCGACTGTAACAAAATGATAAATTGGAGGTAGTGCTGTCATACACATAGCGAGGGCTTTAGTTGTTCAAATACCAGCTCTGCAGTTACCCATGAGTGATTCACTAACAATTACCGCGATTCAATGCACGGCCATGAGTGAACTAAAATCACAGCAGCCTTGCAATAAACATTATACCGCCACCGAGGTTGAGTAACAAAACTGGAACACTAAATAGTTCAATTACACCTTCCCTGCTCAGACATGTTTGACGAACCACTTTACTTTCTGTAATTGATCTCTGTTGAAAAATTTGTAAGAGACAATTACAAACTTAATCTGGATTGATTTCACCACTTCATTTTGTGTCATATCCGTGATATTCGCAAGTAGCAGGCGTGTTAATTTGTCCACAGTTCATAAGCTTAAGTCATCGTCGTCAAAAGTGCATGATACGACTCACAGTTGAGCGGTAGAATCATCGACTAGAAGTGTTTTCTGTGGATCTGTGATTAAGGAAACAGCAATCGGTTAATCAAACTCCATTTTATTGTTTTATGTGTAGTAGAAAGCAGTAGACAAGTGAAAGTGAGAGCCGATGAACATGAACTCTGTACAAGGTGTCGACTCATGATTGGAGTGGATACAAAAGGTTTTGAAAAGCGGTAGAACAAGACAATACACGTGATATACATGGGACGTTAGATCGATTTCGACATCATCAAAATACTATGAAGAGCTTTCCATCCACATTAGGAAGAAGGTTGACCTACGACGATATGCAAGCTTTGACCATATCAGATAGAGTGAATAGGAGGGAATTCATCAAGTTATCAGTGATGTGAAAGACTCTATCTAACTAGACACAACGGATAGAGAGGATAAGTTATTTCCATAATATTATTATTTCATCTGATAAAACACAGCATGATTTATTTTCTGATGATGTTCGAGCACAGTTCATTGCTCATAGTCATATTGACGTGTCGTATAACTTCCACATTTGTTTACATAGTTCCATAATTTCTTATACTGTGGTTTTATCGCCAGTAGTATTCTACACAAGTCTGGTGTTAGTGTTGACTTCCAAGAAGATAGATGGATATTTGAGGAGAAGTGTATTTGTCCTTAGAGTAGTCAGCATATCCACTTTCATAATTTCACTCCAGTTCAGTGATTCACTAAACTGTAGAAAAAGACACAGCTGTTTGACCACTGTATAGGCGAAGAGAAAACACCACTCGTGAAATGGAGTTACACAGCTGATATTGCTTCCGATGTCACACAGTGTCGACTGAACACATCAGCCGAGAGAACATTCACTGCAGCTAAGCTGGTACTCAGCTTCTCTCTCAAATATACCAGTACTCACACAACAAGCTAACAATAAGTTAGCAGTGATGATTTATTCAATGTTCATCGGCGAGGTTTACCACTTGTGTGCAGCTCGTTACATGAGTCTTAATTGCATGGCCTTATCGATGCATACACATCAACACTTACCTCTGTGAAAATCATATTCCTCAAATCTCAACGAAATTGAAGTGAGTAATTCCAACGTTTCGTTCGACAAACTCGTCCAAACATCCTCAGAGAAATTATGTTTGAGTAAACGAACACCGAATGTATGAGTAGTGTGGTTTTATCTCTTATGGTGCATGGTCAGCATCAAATGTAACCAGTGCAGCTGTCGATGATTCACTGTGTTCTCAATAACCTATTAAGGGGAGGAGCATGACCTGGTCTCCAACTGGTAGTCGAGACGGTAGGAAACAAATGCAGGAAATCTGACTTCTGTATGCAGAATAATTATCTTCAGTCACTCACTATGTTCACCTCAGCCTATAATGAAGTCAACATATTTTCCATTAGCATTGATTAAGATGTGCAATTTGACACACCTATCCCGTTATTCATATCTCGTACCTACTTTTGTTTCCTTAACAGACATTTTATTTCATTTCAGATATTTTCCATTTCATGATCTTTATCATTAAGTCCATTATTGTTAGTAACTCAAACGAGATTTGACGCAGTACATTTGTTAATGTGTTCACACAATCCTTTTCTCTCCATCATGTTAAATTCTTCATTACTTCATCATTATATTATTCGATCATTGGAACTTGATTATCTTTCACTGATATGACTGCTGTGTTCACACCACACCATTATAATTACTATCATTATTATTATTATTATTTATATTTTGTCATTATCACCGCTATTTGTAATCCCTTGAACTCAGTAAGACCAGTGCATCTCAATTATTTGCAGAGGCATCCGTATTTTGACTCACAACACTGATTGCAAGTAATCGCTTGAATTCTAAACTTTTGGCGACTATCAGTTCACGAACGTGTCACATCCGTTTGTTCATCCTCGTTGGTGGTCCACGATAGATTGCCTGTCAACAATTCACTTTGTCAGGGATTCGTTCACAGACTGGTAACATCTTGGACCTCGCTTAGCCTGTAGTAATCACAGTAAACGGGTAAGGTTAGGCACGAAGATAGCAATCTCACACTGTAACGGGAATACCACTGCCACTGAAACTTCAGAGGGCAAGTTTGAAGCCCTCCCCATGTTATCCTCGAAATGCAGAGGAATAAAGTAAAAATAATACCACAATAACTCACCATTATTCCATTATCTTCTTGTAACACAAGTCAGTCTCTCACGAGATTTTAGTTTGTCCTTACTGACTATCGTGTTCTAACAATACTTGAGACTGTAAGTCTAAGGCTTGAAGTAGGAGTTATTGAGAACAATATTTCACTAGAAATACTCCTGTCCTCTTTTGATCGAGAAACAAAAATACTCTGTTTCCAGTAGATGAAATTATCAGGTTCTTGTACTATGTTAATCAACCGATTGCCAAAGAGTAACACGAACATTAATTTTGTCACAAGTATCAAAACAGTATATGTAATCTGATGGAACTGGACTGGATAAGTAGGTTCCCATTATGTGGAAAATCGAAAGTCAAAATACGGATTATAAATTATTGAAATTAATCCCAGCGTGCTTAACAAAATATCAGAACAAGATTTTTCTGAACGTTTCTGTGTGTAAGCCACAGCTTCTTCAGCAGAATTATTCGGATTTTTATTAATCATCAAAATATGTAGTCAACGAATTTTTACATAAATTGAAGTCAATTGATTTGAGTGTTACTTGTCCGTAAACAATTGTACCAATAGAAATATGTAAGCAGTCATCACAAATATTTGTAACGACTAATGTCAAATTGTTGTTGTGTTCACTCTTCTATAGTTGATTTGTAAAAATTAGATTTGTATGCGTGTGTGTGTGTGTGTGTGAATGTATGTTATATGTCAAGTGGAAAACACGTCAATTCACATGTGATTAACATGATAATACACTTTTCTAAGGTCATGGAGGATCATGGAGGCTTTTGTTGTTTTCCATCTGTCTTGGTTCATTAGAGTTTGCCATATAGGTGACAAGTCTATCCCTTCTCTCCTTCCTATTCACTGCATTTGATGTGGTTAAAATGTGCAAGGCTTCAGAGGTCAACCTTTCTTTATGTCAATGAAATCCTCTCCCAAAAATATCGACATTGTCGAAATCAATCTCATATCCGCTTTCTGTCACATGCATGCTATAGACGACCTTATCTCTAGACTATTTAATTCTACTTCATTTCTTGATGGACCTTCCGTGCATAGTCTATGTTCATTCACTCTGACCCTCACCTGTCTACTGCTCTCCCCTATGTAGCATGCTTCAATTTCTAAACACTATCCTATAGACACAAATACTTGGTGACATTTTGGGAACCATATCTATGGCACTCACCAATGCTTTCTCTGGAGAATTAGAGGGTTTGAAATAGACTGTAATATCCTATGAAGCAAATAGTCGTTGCAGTTGTCCAGCTGTGTCCTTTCGATATGGAATGG